ATTTTGCTGTCCATTTGTGTTTCATTGGTTCAGTATATTCATTATGGCATGCTTACATATTTTGTGTAATAAAATGCTGAACAGTTTTACTTCGAGCGATTTTTTGTAAACACTATGAGGCGGGGTAAGTTTTTTTCGGTTGAAATCAGTTTGCTGCCGCCTGGAATATAATATCTGTGCATACACTATTTCCTAAGTGCTGCATATGAAGTTGCCGTTGAGTATGTATGCAAGAAAACTATCTGGTTTGTTTTGTACAATATTATGGACGATCTTATTTTTTCAACCAGCTGGAAAGATCCAGAGTGCCCTTTGGTGGTTGATATCTGACAAATCTTAAAATATAATGAGATCAGGCCCATTTCGACTATGTGTTTACGCGCGAGACCGAAGGTCCTTGGTAAAAGTCTCGCGTGCAAAGTTGTGGATGTACCTTGCTGAATAGTCCCATTCTAGGACGAAACGGCCATCCAGTGCTTCTGCGTTTTCAATGGTGATTTAGCTTAGATCAACTCGTGATTTCAGCTGTGAAAATACCACAATCTTCACAGATCCCCATACTGAAAACAAATATTAAGATTACTAAAAATTCCATTACTCTGAATTAGGAAGACATATGTAGGGAAATAATATTGTTTTAAAATAGATCCTCATCGGGTTTTACTCTAATGTACTAGAATATTTATAGGAATATATGAAATTATTTAACCAATCAAGTCAGTTTATGAGCCAGTGATGACAGTGAAATAGATTACATAAGAAAAAAATAAGTAAAAAGAACAAATTGATAGTGTTATAACGGGTGTACTAGTTGTGATTAAAATAATAAAGGCCTAAATTAGTGTTTCATAGTGTGATATTGGCCAACGACTGGGGAAAAATTACGCAATAAGAAGTGATCAAATAATCAGATTGTTAGCATGTATTTAATATGAAAGGGGGAAGGAAAATAAGCGAACAAATAATATGGGAAATAAAAATAATATTTAAAATCGTTTGTTAAGGCTAATTTGGCGAAGGAAGAATACGACTGTTGGTTCGAGGATTTAAAGCTTCCAGCATATGTAAGAGACGAGATATGATTAAGAAAAATTAATTTTTCTTAATACTATTAAGAAGTCTCAATTCATTATAAACATGTTACTATTTCAAATCATAACATGAGTAGACTCTTGAAATATACCTGTCCTGGATTTTATGAATAAATATAGGTTCGTTCTTCCTTACCGTATGAATGTTCAAGAAATATAATCCAAAACAAAATAAACTGATTAAGTTAGTATTCCATACGAATATCATCAGTACTTCAATACATGAGCTCTATAGAGTCCACCAAAATTAACATTTTTTAACCATAAATTGATATCAAGACTTAGAAATTGTGATTTGATTAATAATGAGAAATATACCTGAACAAGTGTCAATTTTGATTGCAAAATTCATAACATTAGTCTGGATACCGAAAGTGAATTATGGTAGCCTTTCCAATAAAAACGTATATTGAGAAGTTTTCATTGTCTAATCGTGAGCTATAAGTTTAGAATTCTTGATTCAGACACAACCATGAATGTAACCTTTGTGTATAGAAAGATAATACGATTAAGGTCTGTCTCCTTACCTTTGTATTTCAATTGAAAATGAATTTATGTCGAATGTCATAAATAGGATCATATAATGCGCAATTTAATTCTGTATGTAGCATAAAAAATAATGAACTATTATCGATTTCATTTGGCTATTGCCTTTTAAATTCGTAAAATATACTTGATTTAATCAATTAGAGTGGAAGTTGAACCATGAATACTTTATTGGTCAAATTGTTCATACTGTTATCAGTGAAACAATCTCTTTCTCTCTTAACCCATCTGATCTTATTTGAATTTTCTCGTTATCTTTTTCATGGTGATATGTTTAAAAATACTTCTTTAACATGGATATTGTTTCGTCATATATATTGAGGTTAATGTTATTGGCTTTTAATTTCCTTATATCGACTTACAGATTATTCTCTCGTGATAATTATTTATTTTAGGTAATTTGTTTGAAAAGAAATTATCGTGTGATATGTTCAGTTTGAATAGAAGTTTCAATAATAACAGATAGGCTTGAATATGTTGATTACCTGTTCCTGTCATCTAGATATTTCAACAAGTTATCTGTTTTCTTGTTTGTCATAAAACATCATAATGTCTATTAATCGCATATCCTATTCAGGTGCGTTTATGAAAAGTTTATGGCATTTCACTGTACAAGTTACAAAAAAGTATGATCAGTGATATCGTGGTGGCTGACAATATGCCTTGAAAAGGACGAACATTATTCAGATATTGATTCCTGAACTGCTAACATTTAACTGGCGATCACTCAATATTTATTGTCAGGATCGATCAGGAAATAAGGGACGGAAACTTGTTGAAATAATATGTATTAAGAATTCTATATTGTTCCAAAAATATTGCATTTCAGTGTACTAAAGCTTTTATGTTCATCACTTATGATTAGATTTAATGAAGTGATCATCAAAATAACTGATAGTAAGTGCTAATGATTTGCAGTTGTTTTGTTGATTTAAATTAGTCAACAATAAATCTTAGGTCATTAAAGCATTAACGTATATTTTTGTCAGACGTTAGTAGAGATAAAGTAAAATATTTATAAATAGTTTCCTAATTTAGAAATTAAGATGAACCGTTTAATTCTTTTAGAATTTGTATTCAATCTCACATATTAAAAATATTCACTTAGGTCGACGTAGTCATGTGCTCAAGTTTAGCGGCATTTATATACATATATATAATCCTCTAGATGGTATCTCCCTTAAAAATGAATAGAATATATTTTTGAACGCGTACAAAATGAATTTAAACTTCACCCTATTTCACAAGCCGGTGGCTATCAGGATCCAGTAGCTAAGTGGATAACGCTATGACGTTGAAGCGGACGGTACTGGGTTCGAGTCCCGGAGTGAACATCAACTCTAGGATTCAGGTACATCCAGCTGACGAGTCCTAAATAGGATGGAACGCGTGTCCTGGAATCCACTGCTAGCCACCATCCATCGCTGTTTATAATGCTTGTGACTTAAGGTAATATCGAGGCAATCCACACAGGATGCACATATGTCAATAAGAGATTGATCAATTACAGTCCTAAACATCAATGGGAAGATTTAAAGAAGTCATACAAAATGATTTTAAAGAGGCAATCAATTTACAATATGGCTTTATAGAACGAAAAATGGTTCTAGTAGACTTATCATGGTTATTAAAATAATCCAATCTTAAAGATAATACAAAGTAGCTTTAATAAACGATTCAAAATTGAAGCTGGTGGTGATGTTTGGATTCCATTCTTTCCAGTTATTATCATATAACTGTAAATAAACTCTTTTTATATTCACAAGATTATCAGAACTTTACCTTCGTCCGCATACTATATTTGTTGCATTATCATTACCCCTGTTTATTAGTTATATGGTTTTACACCTTCGTATTATTATTATTACTAATATTAATACTTTGCTTTTTGTTGAATATTTCACACTGAATTGCGATACAATTCGGTTTTTTTCTGTGTTATAAGTAAATACAAATGAATGTATTTCAAATATTAGATAACTTGTTGTAATTTGGTATATTGAATCCTAAATACTAATTTTTAAAGGACATATAACATTGTATATTTTAACTTTCTACGACATTTTTCTTCATATATATATATATATATCGGATGGGTTTTTGTGGAGATTGTAGTAATTCCAATGGTTAAGATCATGAGTCAGTTGAAACTAGACCACCATGGAAAACCTGGAAGCACTGGACGGCCGTTTCGTCCCATTGTGGGACTCCTCAGCAGTGCGCATCCACTGAAGACAATGGTGAAATGTGTCGCTCAATTTCGTGGATTAGTTGAAGTTAGACATTAACACCGTTGGATGCCGGCTCAGTGGTCTAGTTGTTAAGTGCCCGCGCGCGAAACCAGTAGGCCCTGGGTTCGAATCTCGCAGGGGATGAGGTCGTGGATGCGCACTGTTGAGGAGTCCTACAATAGGACGAAACGGCCGTCTAGTGCTTCCAGGTTTTCCATGGTGGTCTAGCTTCAACTAACTCATGATCTTAACAATTGAAATATATATATCTATGTTTAGTAAAAATCTCATTAAGTCAGAAATTTCAGCATTGTTACATAACATAGAATTTTGTTTGAAATAATATGGAATTTGTTTACTTGACTCAGTGTAATATATAAAATTTTGGTTCCATTTCTGAAAGCAACATTTACGCATATCTACAAATATCTAGATACATATACGACAGTTAGTTATGTAGACATTTGGTTTAACACCCACATACGATAATTTACATTATCAGGTTGATTGGCCTATCGAACTACTTTCTTGATTATTCATTCACATCAATGAATTCTGAATGTTAACTCAAAATAATCTACAATAAATGTATGATGAGAAATTAGATAAGTTAAAAGAGAGAGAGAGAGTATGAAGATGGAAGAATATGCGAGAGAGACAGTTTTAATCCATTTCATGAAGTGCTAAACTTAAACACACCTATAAAAGGTATGTTAGTCTTAATCAATATCATAACAACCATTTTCTATAGGGGCCACGTATTTGGCCGACCAGTAAATTGATTAGATTGAGCAACCTATTTTATGAACCTGACTACCATATTTTTGTATGCAAAATACCTTTTAGGATGCATATAGTGATGTACTTATATGTACATATACAAGTGTGTTATACTTGATCATAAGCCCACACATATATGTGCATGGTAAAAAAAATATAGAATGTGAGCACGCATATTATTATTACACTAACTAGACTAGAGGAAAACTTACTTACCTATTAGTTAGACTGAATAAAATAACAACAGTTTTGCTTATTGGTTCAAATATAAAAAGGTATTCAGTGACACAATATCTTTTATCTATTTATATCAATCATTTAGTTGATTCAATACTGAATTTCATCCAACAAAATGGGTTTAACATTTACAATCCCAAAATTCATTCTATTTTGCTTAAATTTTCTACTTGTGGTAAGTGTATTTATTCAAAAGTGATTTGTTTTTGGTTACACTTAACAAAACTAATATTAGTTTCTGTATAATTCAAACTATGATTTATTTAATAATGATATTTTAGTGTATTTCCGTTTTTTTGTTTTTGTTTTTGATCAAACGAGAAAACTGACAATATTGATCAGTTCTATCATTCAATTCTATTGTAATTGTTCATTTATCAAGTGAATATTATATTGGTGGTAACACAAACATTTTATTTGATTATTAATTTATAAAATCAATAACTGACTTCAGAAATGTTACATCGTTAATTAAGTCTTATTACTTTATTGGATCTATCCAGCATTTCCTATGTTGTAATTATCGATATAAAGTTAATCGATAAACTAAGCTGGAATAATGAGTTGTACTTACTTACTTACTTACTTACTTACTTACTTACTTACTTACTTACTTACTTACTAATTAGCGTTTTTAGCAAGGTTGTTTTCTACCGGATGTGATTACTGACCCCATGCTCAACCCTCCTCTTATCTTCAGGCTTGGGATCAGTAGTAACCCTAAAAGAGCTACAGGCGGAGTTAAGACTTTTACACTGACATGATATTTTATCATTAAGAAAAAGATGATTATATACTTAAATATAAATTTCTACTTGGACTAAATATAAACTTCAGTGTTATGGTATGAACAAAAACATAAGAAATAAATCCTTTAAATTCATATTAAATAATATTTTCATAACAATCACAGTAATTCAATTCATTCATTAGTGAATGGTAGTTTGAAACGTTTAGAAAAAAGAATAAACAATCATTCATGAAATACTTCATTCATGTAAATTTTTAACTTAATACAACAGCTCACATTATAAACGAATAAATATCATTCATTTTGATGGAGTTTTGTTCTTTGAGCTGGATGCTTTGGTCATGGAGCTTTCATCGTTCTTCTGAACGACATCATCAGCACAAACTCCAGCTCAAAGAACAAAACTCCATCAAAATCATCCACCTGAGCTACAAATCTTTTCCATTATCTTAAATATCATTCACATTATTTGAGTAATTTAGTTAGATAATTTTAGGATATAATAATAATGGTAAATATTAAACACATCAACATATTGTTATCAATTAGTGGGTTAGATTTTTATGCAATCTGATGAGAATGACCATTTTTGTTACCAAAGCTCTAATCTTACAACAACAATTATGATTCTACTTATGTGATATGATAATTTTTTCATCTCATACGTTTTCGAATGGTGACTTCATAAGTGAAACTCTTCACTGATATAATCATAGTGTTATGTGGAAAAGTGATATTTGGTTTAACTAACTAATATAAATTAGAACAAACTGGATATGAATACACAGTTCTTTGTAATATTTTCATATCTAATGACTGTAACACTAAAAATGAATCACTTGATGATGATGAAGAATTTAGCTATGCCAAACTAATGGTGATATTTTTATTTAAAAGATATGAATAAGTAATATATTATATTATTATTTCTGTGATGATTGGCTTAATAGAGTCTTTGCTCACATTACCAAGAAGAAAATTATCCCTTTGCAAATAACATTTATGAATATTAACTCTTGTGTATTGTTTACTGTTAATCACTATCTTGATTCAACTTTTAAATGGTATTAAATTCTCAGATGGTAATGGAGCCAAATAGTAATTAGTACACTTTTCATCTTATGGCATAAATGATAAAAAAAAACAAAATTAACTGCATTCCATACTTCTTAATCAAAATATCTGACTAAATGTTAATATTTCATATTTATAGAATGTGAATATTTTAAAAGCTCTAGCTTACGTACTTGCTTATTTACAATTGTTACTCTTTGTGGAGGAGAATAGGCCGACTACCAGCACTCTCCATCCAATCCTATCCCGGGCAATCCTTTCCAGTTCTTTCTAGTTATTGTTCATCCTTTTCATATCTGCTTATAGTTACTGATGTAATGTGTTCTTTGGACTCAATAGATAAGTGGATAACGCAATGACGTTTGAAGCGAACGGTACTAGATTCTAGTCCAAGAATGAACATCAACTCTAAGATGTAGGTATATCCAGCTGACAAGTCAAAAATAGGACTAAACGTCTGTCTTGGATTCCACTTCTAATCAATATCTATCATAAAAGTTCTAGGTAAATATCTAAAAGATACACTGACTATTTCAGTATTAATATAAATATGTCATCAACCTATTCTTACTTGATATTGATATTAGATTAAACTGAAAACAATATCTCTTAAATAATTTTTTTTTTCAAATCGTTTACATGAATTCAATCACTTTTTTATTACTAGTCATAGTGAATTAATCAGATATTATTGATAAGATAATAAATTCAATGAAACATTTCTGATTGAAACACTTTAACCCGCATATCAAACTATTCATTAGATTAGAATTTATAAATGTACACTGGATTATATCAGTAATTGTTTGTAATTACTTTTTAACTAACTTTTTGATTAACATCTTTATTATTTAATTAAATAAGTAACTAATAAAAAAAAGGTTTTGTAGTTTATAGTTAAGCACATAAAAGTGAAATGTTTGTCAACATCATACATTGATGATTTATCTTGTCATTCAATTAATTTATAAATGAAAACTGATATGTAAAGATGAAATTATGGTATAATAATGAAGTAGATTAGTAAGAATAGTCTTAAATAAATGATATTTCAATAGTTGAAATCATGAGTCAGTTGAAGTTAGACCACCATGGAAAACCTGGAAGCATTGGACGGCCATTTCGTCCTAATACGGGACTCCTCAGTAGTGCGCATCCATGATATTTTTGACTAATTAGCATATCAGTAATGTATATGTATATTCACTGTTAGAACTGAAGATAATCTTCACAATTGAAAATAACAAATTTCTAGAGTTCTCAAAGTAGATTTGATACGATGAGTGAATAAATATTTATCATCCTTTTGGTTAGAAGTGATATTTTAATTCGTAATAGTTTGAAACAATAATTAACCTCATATAATTTAGTTATTAAAACATTTGAACCTGTGAACAATTTATGGAGTAACACAAGCTAAAGAGATCCAGATAACTATGATTTTATAAATCAGGTTATTATAAGTATTTTTTTAGTTGGAATGAACGTATATCAAATGGGACTGACGATGTTAATCAATGTTTCTTTATCCCACAAAAATAACTCAGACATCTAATTAATGAAATTTCATAAGAAACATAACTCATACTTACTTAATTGCTTACGCCTGTTACTCCTCGTGGAGGAGTATTGGTCACCCACCAGCACTCTTCATCCAACGCTGTCTTGGGCAATCATTTCCAACTCATACACAACTGTGTCAAAAGATGCCAAAAATGCTTATTAAAAAAATTAATTGAACAAAGTAGAACTACATTGCAATAGATTCACTTAGACCAAAATCAGTTATGGATAATCTTGTGATAAAGAACAATAGGAAGTAATGATAAACATGGAGAGGAAATTCCCAGAATTTTAGTAAGAAGCAGTGATTAGTGTAGTTCATCGATGTCTTGTCGTCAAACACGTGTAACCGATGACAGTGGATGATTGTCACAAAATACCACAAATTAATAGAAGTTTGAATTATAGATTAATGGACACTAAACTCAGTGATCTGAAGATTATGGCCATGCAGGTCATGGATTCCATCCTATGCAAGTTTGTGAGTGCATATTACTGACTGGTGCTTTCTAGTTTTCAATACTTGTTTAGCTTAAGTTAGTTCATGATACAAAATACGAATAGGACAATATCTAAAATCCTTGGATCCTAATTATACGATGAATTTTACGGGTATAAAGTGATTAGAAGGGGCATACAAACAGAAACACTTAAGTTTCGTCTAAAAATTAAACGAATTTATTGAGAAGCGTGGGTAATAATATTAATGAATAGCACAATGGTAGGAGAAGAGAATGAATGAGTTTGTATAAATAGTTTAGAATTCTCTATGTATATTGATGACTTCAACAATCTAAAGTTTGAAAAGACACTTTTGTTTCTAGCACGTTTGCTTTTTACTCTAGAAATAACTCCAAATTATGAATCCATTGAAACAGATTGATTACAAAAGTACTTATTTAAAGCAACTATGTCACATCTATGAATTTTTTCATCTTGTCCAAACTGTTGCCTCATAATACGTTTCATTACATTACTGAAACGAGATAATACAATGTTACGTAAATACAAGGTTGGATCTGAACATTTCTTAATTCGGTTTCTGACTAAAGTGTAAGTACTATATGCTGGTCAGAGGTGAACTAGAATAAAACAATTCCTAGTACTGATCAATTTTTTGTTATTGTCCATCTAATGAATAATTGTGAGAAAAGAATATATGCAAATATAGGTATCATTGACAAATACATGTGCTTTTCTCACTATTTCAAAATACAGAACTTACTAACCTGGTCATAGTTTTGTTTGAACAGAACGTTTTTAGCACGAATTGATTTGCATAATAATATAATATACTTCAATTTTATTGGTTGATGGAATCAAACCCTTAGATTCAAACTCAGATTATGTCCTAATATGGTAACCTTATTGTAAACATATAATCAAACAGTTTGTCAATAAAGCATCATATCAATATGTATTTTAGAAATGGTAAAACTAATACTTTGCAAGTAATCAAAATTATTCTAAATAGCTTTAAAATATGCTAGTTAACATTTCACAATCAGAAAGTTAACTGTAATTATGTCTTTATTTCGCAAAAACATGATGTTACTACTCTAAAAACAAGGGATGGAAAAAAGTAGTATCTTAATTACTCATCGTATTAAATTTCGATACTAATCGATCTGTTCAATGTGTTTGGTATTATTAATTGTTAGGGTCAATTTCATAATACTGTCTTCATTTATAAATCAGTGATAAAACGAAATGGTGAAACGAGATCACTAAATTAATCAGAAGTACATCATGCATTAAAGGAAATAGATTTCAAACAATGTGACCATACATTAATATGTGATAATGATTATGAATATAAGCGATATAGAGGTAGTCTTTCAGCGAACTCATAATCTAACAAAGACTTCACTTTCACGATTGATTGGTCACTGGGTGGTGATCAATGTCATGCTTGTCTAGTCCTTATTAGTGCAGATCGAATGCTATCGATCATGTTGCAATGTGGCCACCAGTCTAGGTGACTCGACACTGCGGGCACTATGTATTGAAATTTAGATGGTGGTTAGAGGTAGTCAACAGGAAACCCTGTACTGGGCTATCCGAGCTGTTGACTACCTCCAACCACCATCTAAACTTCACTTTCAGTTTCAAATATCATCCACCATAGAATAGTTTGTCGGTGATTTTCTCTCATACATCAACATTGGAAAGTTATTTCGCATAAGTTTCAGATTTCATGTCAGTGCATGCCTTCAACTCATTCGGAGTTATTGGATTTAAAAGTTTTGGGTCTTATTAGCAAATACAAAAGCACTCGGCGCTTTCAAATTCAGTTGATTCCTGATAAGGTGTAATTTTCAACCGGTATTATAATGACGACTTACAATCTCGTTTCCAAGATGATTAACTGCATCGATTAAAGCGTCTCATCAAAAATTTCAGAAGTTAATCCGTAAAAATAGTTACTAATGTCCATAAGATTATTATTTGGTAAGTTGTATTATGGAAAGATTCGTATTATTTAAAGATGATTCAATGTAAAAATGAACAAAAAACAAAGTTGTAAAATTCACGAAAAGTAATTTCGAACTTATGTTTTGTAGATTCCTTAGCCCAAATCCATAGAACTATTAAATAAACCTGGTGCTTCGTGGTTTATTGTAAGCCACCTATTCAGAGTAAATTTATTTACTCTAAAGAAGTGGGCTATATTAAGTTATGAAACGTCTGAAATACAATTCTTCTACTCATTGGGATATAACAACAAAAATATATTTATTATTATCTCTCTACTCAATGCTCGATTTATATGAAACTACCGAGTCCAACCTTAGTATTGATATCTAATGAATAAATTTGTTTTAATAAAAATTTAACTGTTATACTAACAGTATTTTCTGTTAATTAATTTAATTTAGATCATTGGGTTGGCATTAATTGCTGTCGGTTCATGGGTTACAGCAAATGATCAAAGTTTTGTTGATACAGTACAATATTTTTCGTCATACAATGCAATTGAATTACAATTATACCAAGGAACAAGTTTAATACGTTATTTCAGTTATGCTGTGATTATAATTGGCTCATTATTAGTAGTGATTAATTTTGTCGGCTGTTGGGGTGTAGTAATCGAAAATCGAGGATTACTTATGGCAGTAAGTTTATGGATTATTATCATTATTGTTATTACATAAAACTTCAATAATGTCTTCTTAAAATTGTTATGGTTTACTTTGACATAGAAAAGAGGGTGGAAAGTAGAGAAAACAAGCCACAAAAAAGACGTGTGTAGTAGATTTAATTATCTTAAGTAAAACTCTTGATTTACAAACTAAATTCCTTTGTCTGTTTACTAATAGACGTATAGGTTAAAAATAATTTGTTCTTTTAGAAATATATCAAGCAGTTACTGTGCAGCCAGATAAATAATTATGGTTTTAGTGTGGTTAAAACTTCAAAAAATATCATCTACACTTCGTGATTCTAATCTCAGTTGATTGCTAATTCAATTACTTGAGTTATTAGTGAATAATGATCTACAGAATTAAAATAATTGATTCGTATGTGGTTCGATCAGTTACTATTTGTTATAATGAGTTAAAAGAGGGGTAATCTACCACGATAACTTGATTGCTCAACATAGCACTATGTGTTACTCACTGTCTATTTTTAGATTTCGTTTAGTTATCTTACGATAGACTACTGCAATGAAAGAATTTCAGGATTATTCGATCTAATGTTTCAATAATCCACACTTGATTAACTAGATATTTTTACGGTAGAAACCACTAGTCGATCTAAGCGAGACCACCATTGAAAACCTAGGAGCACTAAATGGCTGTTTCTTCTTAGTATCAGGCCTCTCAGAAGCGGGCATTTACGATCCCGCACGCTGGACTTGAACCCAGGACCTCTGGTTTCGCGCGAATGCCTAACCTCTAGACCACTGAGCCGTCATCCAACATAATTTACGACATCCTTGACCTTAAGGCGGAGTTCGACTCCGTTGACCGTGAGGCTTTGTGGTAGTATCTGTTATTGAAAGACGTACCGAAGAAAGAGATTAATCTTGTACAAGCTGTCTATTTAAATACTACTGGCCGAGTCAGAGCTTATGGAGAAATTTCATCGGAATCAGTTACCTCAAGAGATATTTATCAGGGTTTTCCGCTTTCCACACTTTTATCTAACTTTGTCATAGACACGATTTTAGAGATAACACTTTCATTGTCTGACTTTTCAAGGATTGATCTTTGCAAGAGATTCGGTTGCTGACTTAGAATACGCAAATGAAATAGTTCTGTTTATTGAAGACGCTTGCAAAATGCAGTGTTTCCTGACTACATTAAGCAATAATGCAAACGTGTTTCGGGTGCGGTTCTTTCCCTCCAAATATGAAATGTTACTTCAGAATTGGCTTGCGTTGGCGCCCAAATTAATGACAGGGAGTGAATTGTTTGGACGCATCAAACGCTTCACTTATCTTGAGAGTTTCATTGGTACTGGTAGTCTGACAAAACCTCGGCACGGATTGATAAGGTTTGATTGGCTTTCGCCAACTTGCGTCACTTATGGCGTATGTGACATATCCATCTTCCAACTAAAGGGCAAATTCACTGCTCATCAGTTCGTCTCGTCCGATTTTATGAGTGTGAAACATGGCCATTAAGAATAAAGAATATGTGTAGGTTACCAATCTTCGACCTTAGATGTCTTCGAAGCATTGCACATATACTTTTGGACCACGGAGTAAGCAGTGCCTAAGTTAGTAGAAGGGTGTTAGTTAATGATAGGAAATTTATTGGTGAGGTAGTAAGTCTTCATCAACTGACACAGTTGGGACATGTGTTAAGTATGCTCATCCACTGCCTAGTTTAAGAGGTGATGTTTTCTTTTGAAGGAATAGGTTAGAGGAGATCTAGGTGCGGCCAGACCAAGGCATCGCTCTAGTCCATGAAGTCACTGAAAATTGGGCTGAGCCGTGTTAACAGGTATGGACTACTTGGTTGGGGTCCGCTTGATTATTGTAACCAATGGCTAGAGACTTTGAATGAAGTAGCTCAAAATCTTGTGCAATGGTGCAGATGCATCTATTCTTTATATTCTAAATTCTGCGCTCTTGAATTCCTCATTACGTTTTTTGTTTCCAATAATTTGTATTACCTTTAATCTTATCTTTGATGCCTAATCTTTCTAATCACTACTCATGATGTTACTATCTCGACGATTCTGGGATTTGACCTGACCATTTCTTTTCTATGCACTAACGAAGTATGTTGACTTGAACGTATGTACATACGTATCAGGCTCTAGGTTGTGGCTAACTGAATGACTTATACATAATTTCGTTGGGAAACATTTCTGCATAAAATCAAACCAAAGAATACCATATAAGAAAAATGTCCCATTCTTCTTAAAATTCTCATTGGCTGTATGAACGTGAAAAATCTGAGATTAAAACCATTTATTTACATATCAACAACTAATCATTGTTAAGTACAATTATGTTCATCTTTTTAATTGATCAATAGGATAGATGAACCTTTTTGATATGGATCATACCATTCGTGAGTGTAAAGTATGAGATATAAGCTTTTAACAACAGGATAGAATGAAAACTATAATTAGTCCATTTTTTTACATAGGATAATTGACTTGATTAATAATTAAGTCGTTTAAAGATCCCCGTCATATTAAAAGACTAATATTTGAACGAAGAATATTCTTTTCGATAAATTCTCTTCAGGTTCTACAATTATATATCCAAATTATTAATCCGAAAAATGGCCAAGTTAAGGGTAAAGTACATCGTATTGTATTTTGTTTATCACAATCCTAAATTCACATGCTCTAAACGATGTACTTTACCCTTAACTTGGCCATTTTTCGGATTAATAATTTGGATATATAATTGTAGAACCTGAAGAGAATTTATCGAAAAGAATATTCTTCGTTCAAATATTAGTCTTTTAATAATTAAGTTTCTAATTAATAATGTCAAATCTACAATGGATTGTTATTACATCATGATATGTAGTAGTTACTATAGAAATTATTGAAAATCAAGGAGTCATTTTACCTAACTATATATATATATATATATATATAACAATAGATTTTCCTTGATTTTCACTTGGATACATTTTAAGCTTTCAAATTTCAGTAGCGATCAAATCCCTATAATCACTACTTTTAGATAACAGGAATAATTAGATAATTTTCTAGCCGATAATTGTTGTTCTATAATGAAAAGAATATAATGGTATGTCCTTTACATTTTAAGCTACTTAAATGATTTTATTGATAATAAAGTGAAACAACCTGGTTAGACTAATAAGTCTCATAAAATGTTCTTTCTTTTAAATAAATTAAAGTATTAAGTAATTTGTCTAAAACCAAAAGGCTGTTAGATAACATTATCTTATACGTTGATTAACACACTTAAAATCTATACTCTTTCATCAACTTATCCTACTCTATTTTATATTTTATCATTCCATGGTAACGTATCTGTTGGATATATTTTACCTTTATAAATACTACATATACGGACAGAGTAAGAGAAGTTTTGTTTTAATTTACTGCTGTAATTTATTATTTTAGTTCGCTGGTTTGATGATTGCCCTAGTTCTACTTGAATGTGGAGCTACTGCAGCGATGGGTGGCACTCAAAGTTTGGTAAATTTAATTGTTCATTTATTATTATTTATATGGATATATATATATATATATATATTTATATATATTTATATATCATTATTCAGTGTATGGATAATCATGAACGACCTCTATAAGTCGTGTTCTAATTGGTGACTTTGTCACGTAGCAATCAACAGGGCAAATACTACTATGACAGTAATTTAAAAATATTGAGATAAAGACTTGATCAGGTTAACAAAAATTCATTTTACTCAATGATAAAAATAATTCCAAGTTGTATGGACATGATTGTAATACTTTTATACTTGACCTCCATATTACTTACTGACTTAAGCCCGTTACACCTCGTGGAGTAGAATAGACCGCCTAACAGTTATTTCCAGTTGCTATTCATCCTTTTCATGTCTGCTTTCAATTCCCGATGTAGTATGCTCTTTGACCTTCCACTTTTCCGTTTCCCTTCAGCATTCCAAGTTAGAGTTTGCCTCGTAATCTAGTTTGGTGATTTTTTCAATGTATGTCCTATCCACTTCCAATGTCTTTTCCTAATTCCCTCCTCAGTTGGAAGCTGGTTTGTTCTCTTCCATAGTAGGTTGTTGATGATGGTATCCGGTCAACGGATATTCAGTATCTTACGTAGACAATTGTTTATAAATACTTCTACATATTTGATGATGGTTGCAGTAGTTCTCCACATTTCAGCTCTGTACAATAGAACTAGCTGTCTTAATGTTCGTATTGAAGATTGTGACTTTGCTTTGTTTGACAGTTGTTTTGAGTTCCATATGTTGTTCAACTGTAGGAATACTGTCCTTGTTTTATCACTATGCCTTCAATTGAATGATGCTGTCGAGATGCGTGAAAGTTTCCATCTCTTCCATAGTTCCTCCATCAAGTGTGATTGAATTAATGTTTTCCGTGTTGTATTTAAGGATTATGCTCTTTCCGTTGTGTGTGTTGAAGCCTACAGATGACGAGACAGCTGCTACACTTGTTGTCTTTATTTACATTTGTTAGTGTATATGGGATAGAAGAGCTAGGTCATGTTTGAAGTCAAAATCATCTAGTTGTATCCAATCTGTCAACTGTATTCTGTGATTCCTCTGATCCGTGAGTGGTCTTCATAATCCTGTCGTTCATTTTGTCAAAGCTTAATAGAAATAATCAGGATTATCAGTCTTATTTTTAGCTAAGAATTGAGTTCTATCTCTGGATTTAGCAGTAAGATACTTTTGTTCTCTTTATAGAAACTAATCGAACGCCTGATGTTTTAGTTATCAAATAATAGTTTTAATTTATTGGTTTGAAATAATAAGTCTTGCGGCTGAAACTTGCTACATATAATCAATGTAGCACAAGGAAACATTAATAAGCAAATAATTCACGTAAGACAGTGATCGCAAAGATATTAGTCAGAGAATATTTTTAAAACACTAACCTGTTATATATATAAATTTTGTATTAGACTATGACTGGTAGTAGGATTCAGGAAGCTCATCTTGTCCAACATAGAAAGCATCTACCTTCGAGTGTTGATGTTCTTTTAGAGATCTGAACTCAGTATTTATCATTCCAAGTGAATAAGCTTAGTTAACCAGGCTACTAAGTTAAGATATTCTTTTATTTGTTCAACTGGTAGGAATTAATATGTAAGAATTGGAACTTTTCCAATGTTGATGTGAAGGACTTCAACCGATCAGTCTCCATCGAAGTATGTGTAGTAATCATTTTAGCAAGGTGAAACGTTGAAATGTTCATACTTACAGTGATTTTCAGCTTCAAATTAGATTGTTCATGTGTGAACATTATCACATTCAATGAGTCAGTACAAATGTAACATGAGAAAAGATAAAGTGTAATTTCACTGAAAATAAGAAAAAGGCAGGTTCGGTTTTCTTATACAGGAAACCATCCATTCTGATGGAGTTTTGTTCTCTGAGCTGAATGGTTTGGTCCAGCTCAGAAAACAAAACTCCATCAAAATCATCCACCTGGGCTACAAATCTTCTCCACCATCTCAAAACCTTTCATTCTTTTAAGATGTCAATGAGTAAATTACCAGAAATGTTTTCCTTCAAATAAAACGTTCACGTTATATTATGAAACGATATGCGTTCTTTGACATATTCAATAGTCTGATAATTCTGAATGACACTGGTCATTTTAAAAGACAATATTTCTCCGTCTTTTTACTCTTCATTTGCAAATTTAATTATCAGTATAGGGTTGTGGAGATTATTAAGTTATTAATTGAGATCTTGAACCAGTTGATGTTAGACCACCACTGAAAACCTGGAAGCACTGGACGGCCTTTTCTTCCTATTGTGGGACTCCTCAGCAGTGCGCGTCCACAATCCAGCCCGCGGGATTCGAACCCGAGGTCTTCAGTTGCACGCGCGAACGCTTAACCTACTTGACCACTGAGCCAGAATCTAACGGCGTTAATTTCTAACCTCAACCAACCCACAAAACTGCACGACCATCGTCCATTATACTGAGGTATATACCTGTCCTTACTCGACACGTAATAACTCCACTGGTCACGGCTTCTCACTAGAACTCCGAGAATTCCCTCACGAAATTAGTCACTAATGAGCTCATGGTAATGTTGGAATATATTTCCATAAATCGTTCAAGATAGTCAAACCCATTTGTTTGTGTTAAGACAATCAAAGAATTGCTCAATTCTTGTTAATAATGCTAAAGTTTTACTAAAAACGGTAACTATAAGTATATTTTCACAAATGCAATTTTTCAAATGTCCTTTGACATGTTATGACTGTCAGCGATTACTTTTAGTTTATTGATTTTCTACATGTTTGAAGGTTATGATTTCGTTGCTATAAATAATGATTTCTATCACTTCAAGTTATTCTAATTAAATAAAAAGTTCGCCTCGCAATTCATCTTCTTTTTGTGTTAGAGGGTAATTGTTGAAATGTTATATGGTTACTTTCATTATCGAATCCGTAGTATAAACATTGTGTATATGAATAGTTCAAACGTCCTTTAACTTGTAAGTGTATTGTAGACAAACCAGAAATCCAAATAAACAAAATAATTCTACCAATAAATGATCAGTCTTATTAAGATTTAACGATTTGTTCATTTCGTCTATTTGACATGTCTATAACCAATTACCTTTATAAAACTACTGTTTAATTGGGTAAATACATTTATCTTTTTTTTGTCAATCTAGTGGAAGGACGATTATGAGAAATCGATTACAAGTCGATTTGTATCTAAATACCGTGGAACATTTGGAGCTTTTGCAATTTCAGAATTTGAAGATTATTCATTAAAAATGGATCAATTGATGATTGAAGTGAGTAACATATGGAAATTTGAAAAAAAATTTTTTTTAATTTTAAACTTTAACTTGGTAATGAATAGAAGTTGTTTGTTGTAATTCGTGAAAGAAAAAAATTATCATGTAAGTATTGGTAATCGAAGTGAATTAAATAAGTTCTTTCATTAAGGTTTGGATTTTCATATCAGTGTGAAAACGCTTATGTTATATTGAGTTTTTTGTCGTCATTTAGATCGGACGATGTTTGTTGACGGGCTCTCCACTTTAGTGGCCCGAGATCTGACTCCAAGTAGATCGTATAAATGTTTGTTATCGCCTATCCTCGTGTATAATCATTGACTTAAATCGCGTTAGTCAACAACGGAATTAAATAAGTCAAATAACGAGAATGGACTTTTGAATACATATATTTTGTATATGAAGCGAATGGTATAGAGAGAAGAGATACGACGTGCAGTGGAGATGGCGGGTAAGCCAACTCCCCTTTAACCAAAGGTTAATCAATATTTATAGTTACACAAAAATAACTTACAGACATGTGATGAATGGGATAAGAAGTGTACAAACATACGCTCATGTAAAAACAGTGAAGATTGATGAGCGAATAATTAACAAGGTCAAAATATGACTCAAGCAGAATGAATAGATTAAACTTTTCGAAAGCTAGAATAAGGTATATGGGCTTGAAATAATAACCGGCACCACAAGTTAAAGAAAGGATGTTTACGTTGCATAATAAGTCAAAAAGTAATTAATTATATTCGTTCGTTGTTGTCTGTCATAAAAATAAGTCTTTAGGATTGATTGTTTTCTGTTAGGTATCATCAAAGATATGTCTAGAGTGGTTTCTTGCAATCTCTTATTAATTAGTGATTTATTTCTAGATCTCTTCACATTTGATAAATTAAATTTATCTGCACAATGATCTTAAAATGTATGTCATACCGTTATATATATCTACATATAATATTGTATAATTTTTAATTATTTAGCTTGAATGTTGTGGATTACAAGGTTCTCAAGACTTTTCAAACACAAAATCGCGTTGGTATCAGGAAGGTCGAAAATATTCAGATGGTACTACTGGTGATGCGATTAAAATTCCTCCAGCATGCTGTAAATATACTTCAAAAGATTTTTGGAGAAAAGGTATGCTATTTCCTCTTTTTCAGGCAAATAGTTTATCTTTTAAACAATACACTTTAATTAGTATGGGGATTTGTAGAGATTATTATTATTATTATTATTATTATTATTATTAGTAGTAGTAGTAGTAGTAGTGGTAGTAGTGGGTGCGCATTGCTGAGGAGCCCCATACTAGAACGAAACGGTAGTCCAGGGCTTCCAGGTTTTCAATGGTGGTCTAGCTTAGATAAACTCATGAATTCAACCGTTAAAATACATTTTTCAACAATACATTTTACATACATACAATAATAAGTAATTTTCCTCTATCATCATATCAATTTATCAAGTTACTGATAAACCATTCATACCACTTCATACAAATAAAATCATCAATTCTTTTTTTAACATTTTTTACATTTAAAAGAAGCATGAATGTTGAAATGTTTGTTTTTTAGTAGATTTCAATCAAGACAAGAAATGGCTTAAATGAATTTTACTGTTTATTCTTATTCAAGAGCAATATGCCTTAGAAATGATTACTAACCTATCTATATTCAAACCCTTGATTTAATCATTTTAATAATTTATATTAGCCTCTAAAAAAACATTACTCGAATGAACCAAAGAGTTTTAAGTGAGATATATACATAATACATTCTTAAGAAAAGATTTGAATTTTTTTTTAAGATTATCCTTTTCAAAACTATTTTAATCAGAAAAATGTATTCGAAAGGGTAGTTCATGGATAGTAACTAACAATACATTTAACTATGTTAAACTATTTATGTTGTTCCGTTACATATGGATAATAATGTACAAACAACATATTCGTTAGTTTGTGGTGTGTGCTACTTATGTCGACAGACATAAGTAGTATGTAACATTAACTAGAAGAGGAAGGCATAGTACTAGAAGGTAGTAAAGGTCGACTTGAAGAAAACAGAAATAGAAAGTAATTGTGATTTTGAAGAATCATACAGAATGTGAAGAACAAAATGATGGAATTTTGCAAACGAAGTATTCAATATATGGTTCTCATAGTTTACCAAAAGATTCTGTAATTTTGTGTTGAAAATACAATTCGTTGTCACTATCTGAGTTCTCGTTCATTTCAAGTATATAAGTAATAGAATTGGATTCATCTATGTTGATTTAATAATGATACTCTCATTAAGAAACTTTTTAATATTCCAATAACTATTTAAATATTTAGTCTTAATATTATGAATCAGTGTAAATGATCTTACTATTTATCAGTGTAAATTTAAGTTCATTCATTCATTTTAGAAAATGGACTTTTTTTAAAAATCTATCTGTTTTATCATAGTCCATGAAGTTGCGCCACCGTGCACCAGTGAGCTGATATCTCACAATAGACCTGGTTGAACTCCACTGGTAACGGCTTCTCACTAGAACTCCAGGATCATCTCCTGAAGTCAGTCATAGTAACTGAGTTGATAGAACAATTTTCATAAAATAATCCCTATTACAAACTGATTTTAAACAAAAAAAAATCATTGAAAAATAGGGTATTACATGTTTAGAACTTGTTCAATTCTCATTTCACATGGTATCATAACTAAAATCTTCTAATTACACAATGAAGATGATACATTCATGCAATTGTGTTAAAATACAATGATCTAAACTTTTATCTGTAATACATTTATATGTTATCTCATCTTTCAATCGGTTGACTACAAAACATTATAGCTTTCTCCACTAAATATTTCAAAAAAATTAAACTCAGGTTTACCTAATTTTAAGACTTCAATGAATATGAAACTGTGGAGAGACTTTATTTCACATATCATAGTAGATATATTGTTCTATATTGTTTTGACTAGCAGAAAATGAAAATAAACAAAGACTAATTCGTTACTATTATTATTTTGAAATATATTTGCAGCTGATTATGAAAAATTTCAAGACAACCTTAAAGATAAAGATTGTGTAAAAACAACAAATGAATCAAATATGAACGTTGGTTGTTTAGCTGCAGCAAAAAATAAAACAGCAAAAACAGCCCTCCCGTTCATAGCTATTCCAATTATACTTTTCCTGTTCCAGGTATGATACAAAAATGCTAATGATTACTGTCGTCTTATTATTATTATTATCACTATCGATATTATTTTCAGAGTTCATTCGTTTATGCTATTTTATTTCATAATATTTACCTTTATGCTTAAATGGAATTCATCGATCAGAATAATCATATGATATGATATGGTGGACAATGGAGCTTTTTGGTGAGATGGTTGAAGTTAGATATTAACACCGTTGGATACAGGCTTAGTAGTCTAGGGGTTAGGTGTTTGCAAGACCGATAAGTCCTAGGTTTGAATCTCGCGGGGTGAGATCGTGAATGCGCACTGTTGAAGAGTCCCACAGTAGGACTAAACGGCCACTTAGTGCTTCCAGGATTTCCACGGTGGTCTAGCTTCAATCGGTTCATCAATTCAACTATAAAATGAATAGTTAATGTTTGAAAATAATTAACCTTTACATACTACAATGATAAACACTTCACTTATTTTCAAAAAGTAAGACTTCATCTTTTTATTCAATGATCATAAGAATCAAATATATATTTGTATTTCATATTTACTATTTATTCATATCCTTTTATTTCAGTTTATTATGAGTTAAAGTTATTTAATTATCTGAAATAATATTATTTAACAGAGTGGATTTTATCATACGCAGATGAAGAAAAACATTGAAATATTTAAAACAAATATTTCCTTTTTGTAAGCAATGATGGTCAGTGGCTAGCAGTGGAAGCCAGGATGCGCGTTTCGTCCTATTTAGGACTCGTCAGCTGGATGTACCTGCATCTCAGAGTTGTAATGGTGGATAATGATGGATCATTGCTTACAAAAAGCTTGTGAATTAAGACAATATCGAGGCATAGGCACAGTATGCACATATGCTAATAACAGACTGATCAATTGCAGTCTTAAACCTCAATGGGAAGATACAAGCTAAACAATATCAAGTGAATTCAAATATTTCCTTGATAATTAATCGATTTCTTTGTGTTTCTAACTAATGTAAGACATATATTATATCGGGTATTCATTTGAATTAAATCATCAAGTGGTTAAACACTTTTAGTTATATGCCTATATGTTCAAAATTCGTCAACTGAACTACTGATAATGATGAAAGTAAGGTTGGATGAGTAGTAGAATAAGAACAAATAACCAGTTATATAATTAAGTTTGTTTTTATTAATTTTCAAGAATCATTATGAATAAATTTACATATAAAATAATATAACTCACTATATTTTTACATATATGTTATCCATTAGCCATCCTATGTGTTAACGTTATTGTTTTTAAATATATATATATATTTAATAGTTGAGATCATAAGCAATTGAAGCTAGACCACCATGGAAAACCTGGAAGCATTTGACGGCCGATCTCGTGAGGCGGAATCGTTGGTGCGCACTGTTGAGGAGTCCACAGTCGGATGAAACGGCCGTCCAATGCTCCCGGGTTTTCCATGATGATCTAGCTTCAATTGAATCATTATCTTAACTATTAAAATTACAATAATATCCACAAAACTCCTTCTGATACTAACTGATACATTGATAAACTATGAAATAATTTTTCTTATTGAACTTTTTAATTAAATTTAAAGCTGTAGTTTTAAACGAATATTCGTCAAGATTAGAACGAACAGTTTGACAGAAATTGGGCGCCGAGTAAAGAGAAGTCATTATATGTGAAAATTATATTTGAAATAATCTCAGCGATTGAAATTTAAATAATCCCAACGTTTCGTCCAGCTAACTTGTCTGGACTTCTTCAGAAGAAATCACTGAGATTATTTCAAATATAATTTTCACATATAATGAAGTTTTAAAGTTATTTTTTTCTATTATACAGAATTATAAATAAATAGTTGATTTACAGTAGTTACTATTTAATCCAATTAATTTCAAATTTTTATTGTTATAGATTGCTACTATCGGGATCTCCATCTTTTTAATTTGCCGAATTCAAAAATGGGATAATGAACTCTACTATTAAAGGTCATTTTCACTTTTAATGAAATAGATGTATGTAAAACTTGAAAAGTATTATAAATAAAAAAGAAGAACATTTTTAACGACTAAGTATGATTATTATTATTATTATTATTATTATTATTATTATTATTGTATTAAATATCTTTAAACAGTCTTTAGTCTGTTCGTCTTATCGGAATGAAATACAGAAAAACCGGTTAGACGATATGCCATATTGAATGTTCGTATTCTTGACATTTAATTCAATCAATCTTTTGTTTAAAATGACAAAATGATATTTTGTAAATGTATGTGTATGCATGTGTGTATTTGTATGGATAGATGTTTATTTGCTTTTCTGTTATTATTAAGTATTTAATCATTTTGGTTTATAGAGCCTTCAAACATTTCAACTGCTTTATAGGCTAGATTGTTTTATAACTGCATATAAACGTAGGCGCATTGTTTTTTTTGTTTGTTGGTGTTATTACTTTGACCTATATATACTCCATGTTCAAATAATTGATTTCTTCAAATTAATGTTATTGAAATAAATGTTATGCCTCAAGATCATGGAACTCAATATTGTTGTTCTCTTCTTCATTGTTGGGGTAACAATAATTTTCTAGAATAAATTAACATAAGCTTGGTTTTAATTTTATACTAGTAGCTTCTATCACTATGGTCACTATAAAATGAATCAAAATAATTCATCTCTCATATAGCAAAATTTGTTGAATAAAGACCAGTTGGCTTTTTTCTAGGGTATTCTTCAATTCTAATACCAAGTTGTGTATGAGTATAATTCTGATGATTTAAAGATAGCCGCTTATACAAAACTAAAACTGTTAATTGAATAAATCATCTATTGTGTTACTAATTTGTATTAGCTATTTTCAAATGCCTGAGCAATTGACAACCTGTTTCGTTTTGATTACCTATTCTTACTGAATTTTGGAGTATATATTCGATAAGTCTATGCGAATATTCGACAGCCTGTAATTAATGAATTGAGAAGTTAATACTTTAAAAGCTTTAATCAAGAAGCAGTAGATAGTAGCCTTGGTGTCTTTTAGAGATTACATGCGGTTCATCGGATCCCAGTGCAATGAATAGATGGTATTGAGATGTTGACGGTAAACCTGATCTTATGTTCATTACCTTGTAAAGTCGCTTATATATCACTTGAAAATCCCGATTTTAGCTGAATTACCAATCTAATTTTCTCTAATTTCTAAAATTTTCTTCTCAAATTAGAAGAATATGAGATTCTATGTAAATTCGGTATCTGAAGGCAAATAATTGGATACATAGATTAATATGTATATAATCGCGCTACTTGATTGTTAACTTAATTCTTGTGTCGGAATCTTCTTACTTAAATGGTTTTTACAATTAGATAACCACCACTCTAGCCATTTCCATTTTCCTAACAGTATACTGTGGAACAGACCAGTATTACAGCTGAATTTTACAAACTAACTGTCAGTCCCCAAGGCTGTTTAATACGAGGTATGGTATTCAGGAGTGGACCAGTACTCAAATCAGACTGACCACAATAAGAACACACAAAGTCATATCATATTTGTAGTTTTAATTAAGCACGTAATAATGTTCAATGCAATTATTGGTTAGCATAAACATCACGTACATACCGAAAAACAATATTACCGTCTGAGAACGACATCTAAACTTTATTCAAATAATTACCATAGAGAATATTTTGCAAGTATAGAGGATATTCAGTTAATCTAAAGTGAGTAGCTAATAACTTCAATAATTTATGTATGGCATTATAACTGTGTTACAATAATCCACCCTACATGGTTGAGCTTAATTCCATTGAGTGAATTGCAATTGACTCATTCATACTTTAAACTTTCTACAATTGGTTCACTAGCATGAATCGATTTGTGTTAAGTCACTTTCAAAATACACTGGAATTTTTCTTAATCTTACCTAACAATACAATAGTAATAATAGTTCACTGTCAGTACTAGATTAATCCCATTCTGAATAATAGAACAAGTTGAATGTAAAAATACCGACCAGTAAATTGAGATTTATTAAACTTTAGGTTCTACACTGGTTATATGACTTGTGGATCATAAATCTAATTATTTGAACTATGACTGCTCAATACATAGGAGCTTTAGAAAAATAGTTGAATCAGCTGTTTAGTCTTTTCTCGGGTTCAATATTACTTGAGTTTACAGAAGATAGAGACAATGAAAAAGACATACCTATATATATATCGTGATTACTATATTATTACAAAAGTCAATAATGATGGTCAGAAACGGTATCACCAACTTAGCCTTGAATGTATCTTAGTAACAAATGTCGATAAATGTTCTTTATTTTCAATTCAGTTACTAATTTTTTTTTAAACTGACCAAAGTCTACAGTCACTTGTTTAGTACTCTAAAAATACTGAAAAGAAACTAAGTAACAAATGATGGACCCATTTAACTTAATAAAAAAAATTTCTATTTTTATGTGGTCAAGCACAAATAATGGTTAATAGTTATTAAAGGCATTTTAGAATATTAACCTTTGAATAAATCAATATTTTTTTCGTAAATGTTCACATGTAACCTAATAGGTTTTTTTGAATTCTTATCAATTTTGGTTAGTTTTATGATGATGACACTTTTTTGTATTTTCTAAATTACAAATTATTATTCTTTTAAAACCATTAACTACTGTTTAGTAATTAAGTAATGAATGTTAATTGTATAATTATGCTTTACAACTGAAGAACATCTGGAACTCAAAACATTTACCAACCAACACCGAGGTCAGAATTTTCAATACAAATATCAAAACAGTTCTACTGTATGGGGCAGAAACTTGGAGAACTGGGAAGCTATGATCCAAAAGATACAGATGTTTATTAACAGCTGTCTATGCAAAATACTTCGGATCCGTTGGCCAGACACTATCAGCAACAACCTAGCATGAGAGAGAACAAACCAGATCCCAGTGGAGGAAGAAATCAGGAAAAAGCGATGGAGGTGGATAGGACACACATTGAGGAAAGCACCCAACTGCGTCAAAAGGCAAGCCCTCACATGGAACCCTCAAGGCCGAAGGAAGAGAAGAGGAAGACCAAAGAACACATTACGCCGAGGAATGGAGAAAAAGATGAGAAAAATGAAAAAAACTGGATAGATCTGGAAGGGAAGGCCCATGACAGATTAGGTTGGAGAATGTTGGTCGGCGGCCTATGCTCCATTGAGAGTAACAGGCGTAAGTAAGTGAGTAAGTATAAACATACTACAATGAAATGTATAACACTATGTAAATGACTAATATTATATAAATAAACTCTTAAGACCAATGTGAATGATTCTTTTAAGTTTGTCAATTAAATTTCTTGAAACAAAACAATCTTTCCTTAAAAACAAACTCATGATATCTGTTGATAAACCATCCTTATTCATTATTATACAAGAAATTGGGAAAGTTAGAAACTAGAATTTCTATTTGCATGCTAAAAGTGTTACTTCGTAAGTGGATAACGAATATTTAATGCTCACTGTCAGTTCACTTGCAATCATCAGTATAGGGTTGTTAAACCATCATAAAAACCTGAAAGTGCTGAAAGGTTATCTCATTAATGTGTGGAAATCCTCGTCAGAACTCATCTACAACTCTTCACGAGGGAGTCGAACCCAGGACGTTCGGTCCCGCGCAAATGCAAAATTCTAGACTACTGAGTATGCATCCAGCGGTATTAATGTCCAATGTCAATCAATTCACGATAGTGCGCGACCATTTTTCATTGTGTTTGGTGTGTAACTTCCTCGCATATGCTCTCTAGTGACTAGCTTCAAGAAGGAATTCTCCGAGTTATATTAAGAAACCGTGACCAGTGGAGTTCAACTATGTCAGGCGTGAGGCAGTTACTCGCCGAATACAATGGAAGATGGTCGCATAATTTCGTAAAATCAATCATAATCTTGCATTTTATTCTCACTATACAGACGACGCATTTCTATTACGTACGAATGAAATGGAAAAGATTAGTATTTCTAGAAGATTTAACACACTTCATCCACCGACCAACTTCACGTTGGATGAAGAACTTAATGATAGTATCTCATTTCTAGTCGTCTCATTAACAAATAGGCTGAATGAAACATTAAAAAGAACTGTATCTAGAAAACCGATTACACATAGTATACCCATTTTAATAATTCTATACCACTCAAGTACTAAAGAGAGAGTACAACACAATAACTTAGGTGATCCCATTAAAAAGGATTTAATCTCCATCAACAAATTAATTCATCAAAATACATTAGGAAAAGTATGATCCGGTCTAGAACCAAGTTGGAGTTAATGACAACTACTAAAAAATCCATGTCTTTGAAATATAGATCTAAAACAAAAATATTAATAAAATAGTAAATCAATGGTTAAAAAAATCTAAACTGGATATCCTATTCTCTGACCATCTTATCATTTGCATCCAAAGTAAGATTAAAAATTTCGAATTAGTATCACTCATGTCCATTCGCCAATTTAAATATTCATTTTGAACTATTTACATTGAGTGTACAATTAGATAAGTCCTTCACTTAATTTTTGGACGTCATCCAACTTGGTCAATGAATTACTTACTTACTTACTTAGGCCTGTTATTCCTCGTGAAGGAGCATAGGCCGCTCACCAGTATTCTCCATCCAACCCTGTCCTGGGCAATCCTTTCTAGCTCCGTCCAGTTGTAATTCATCCTTTTCATATCTGCTTCTATTATCCGACGCAATGTGTTCTTTAGCCTTCCTCTTCTCCGCTTCCCTTCAGGATTCCAAGTTAGGGCTTGTCTCGAGATGCAGTTTGACGATTTGCGTAATGTATGTCCTATCCATTTCCATCATCTTTTTCTAATTTCTCTCCCACAAAAGACTGTTGCTGATGGTATCCGGCCAATGGATGTTGGGTATCTTGCGTAGACAACCATTTAAAAATACTTGTACCTTCTTGATGATGGTTGTTGTAGTTCTCCAAGTTTCA